TGAGGATGGGGGCGTGAATCCTGTCTCAAGCTGAGGGCCTCACCTGCCTTCCCAGCCCCCAGGCTGACTCATGGGAGTTGGCCCTGAGAATAACCCACACAGTGGGTTATAATAACCTTGAGTGGTGGAGACACTTGGGAAGAGGACTCTACAAAGGATCCTGGGCATGTTTTCACTTGAGCATGATGACAAGGCTGCAATGGTGGGCGGTACACCAGAGCTCAGAGTGGTGACCCAGTTCAACTCAAGTGCATCAGTGAGCAGGTGGGGGGATGCTGGGGACAGACCCTGGGCTCTCAGGAAATGGATCAGGGGACAGGGACCCTGATAGAAGGCCAAGGCCATGCTGACAACAGAAGTGCCTGCATGAGGCAAATGGAAAGTCTAGGCGGAGACAGGGTCCTGTCAACTTGAATTATTTATGGGACTTCCATAGGAGGATGTTGTTGCCAAGTGCCATCAAGCGGGATCCGACTTATAGCCACCCTGTACAGGGTTTCCAAGGAGCAGTTGGTGAGTTGGAACTGCCGGCCTTAAGGGCTCAAACCAGATGTTGCATTAACAGGCAGCACCACATCAGAAGTCATTAACAACCTGCAATATGCAGATGATACAACCTTGCTTGCTGAAAATGAACAGGACTTAAAACATTTACTGATGAATATCAAAGACCACAGCCTTCAGTATGGATTACAGCTCAATGTAAAGAAAACAAAAATCCCCTTATCAACGGAGAAAAGGTTGACGTTATCAAGAACTTCATTTTTCTTGGATCAACTATCAACACTCACAGAAGCAGCAGTCAAGAAATCAAACAACGTATTGCATTAGGCAAATCTGCTGCACAAGACCTTTTTAAAGCGTTGAAGAGTAAAGATGTCCGCTTGAGGACTAAGGTGCGCCTGACCCAAGCCATGGTATTTTCAATAACCTCATATGCATGTGAAAGATGGACATTGAATAAGGGCGACCGTAGAAGAATTGATACTTTGGGGTTATGGTGTTGGAGGAGAAGACTGAAAGTTCCATGGACTGCCAAAAGAACTAATAGCTCTGTTTTGGAAGAAGTGCAGCCAGAGTGCTCTTGGAGGCCAAGATGGCCAAACTTCGTTTCTCATACTTCGGACATATTGTCAGGAGGGACCAGTCACTGGGATATCATGTTTGGTAAGGTGGAGGGCCAGCAAAAAAGAGGAAGACCCCAACAAGACGGATTGACCAAGTGGCAGCATCGATGGACTCAAGCGTGGCAACAGTAGTGAGGTTGGCCCAGGACCGGGCAGTGTTTCGTTCTGCTGTGCATAAGGTCACTATGGGTCTGTACCAACTCGATGGCACCTAACAACAACAATAGGAGGATGGGAGGCCTTCCCTATCTACCTGCACAGAGCTGGAGGCAGCACACAAAGATAGAGACAGACAGAAAACTTCAGCTTCTTTGGGGGTCCCAGCATCAATGCCAAGGCGAAGTCACAGGCAATTCCCATGCTGCCCAGCTCGAGCCCGTGCCTTCCCCACCAGCCTACGTCAGAACTACAGACCACACAGCTCAAGAGAGGGAGTACCCTCTTACATCATCTGATCTCTGATGACCCTTAAGAGAAAGGGCCTTAGCTTCCCCACCTTCCAAGCCTGGATTTCAAAAAGCAAGGCTAGCTGTCCAACACATACCCAATTACTGCCAACCCACCCCCAGTCTAGACGCAGGAGAAGTTGCACTTCTGGGCCGTGAGCTGTCTTGGAAGCCCCGGGGTCTTCCTGTCTTGTTCTGTGCTGAGAATGTGCAGAGTCGGAGCTACAACAGGAAGTGAGCTGGTGCTATTGGGTCAGTCAGCTCCAGCACAGCCCTGGGCAGGTCTCCTTCTTGGCCCCTCAAGAGGGCTTCCGCAGAGGTCTGGGAGCAACACTCCACCAACTCCAGCCCAACTGCCAACAGGACACACACTTACTGACCTTAGGCCAGGCCTGGGAAACAGGAAAACCTGGAGTCCCGGTCCCAGTGTTGTCAATGACTTGCAGGTGGCTTTGACAGAGTCCCGGCCTCCCTCAGTTTGGCAGGTAAACACATTAACTTTGGAGTTAATGTACCTGGGTTCAAATCCCTGCTCTCCCTAAACTAGCCGGGTAAACATAGGGAAGATATGTAAACTCTGTGCTTCAGTTTCATCTGTAAAATGCGGTTGATAGGAGCTCTGGTAGTGTAGTGGTTACAAATTGGGCTGCAAACCTTAAGGTCAGCAGTTCTAAACTGCCAGCTGTTCAGCAGGAGAAAGATGAGGCTTTCTGCTCCCGTAAAGATTTACAGCTTCGGAAACCCTGTACAGGGTCGCTATGAGTCGGAACCGACTCCACGGCACAGAACCACCACCACCACCCTATCTCACAGGGTAGTTGCTTATGTGGAATAATCTGTATCAAGTACTTAGAATATTGCCGGCATGCAGCAAACACTATGTGTTTGCTACCATTTATTTTTTCCCCACATTGCCACGATGAGGTGACACCTATGTTCTCAGGGTTCTTGGGGAGCACGGGGCATGGAGGAAGATGAAGCAGCATGAGGGTCTGCCTGGGACACCATTTGGAGCAGCCAGCAGAGCTGGGCTTGCACCTAGGAGGAGGCCAGGTCTGTTTAGTGCTGGGCCGGGCCCTGGGGAGACGTGTGAGGGCCAAGGGCTGGGCTCCTTCCAGGAGCAGCTATAAATGTATTTTACAGACTGGTTACCAGAACTGCCTCTGTCTCCCTCCTCCAGGCCAGGTCAGCTGGCAAAGGGTGGCACACAAGTGAGCCTAGAGACACGGGAGGTGGCTGGCAGTCCAACTTGACTTTTCTCTTTCTTCTTGCCACCTCTGAATCTGCTGGGAGGACTGGGATTATCCAATAACTGAGGATGACTAAAGGTATCAATTTATCCATAGGCTGGTTTCCCTCTGCATCTAGATGTTGTTGTTGTGTTGCTGTTAAGTGCTGTCGAGTTGATTCCGACCCATAGCGACCCTGTATAGGGTTTCTGAGGAGCAGCTGGTGAGCTTGAACTACCAACCTTGCAGTTCAAATGGCTTTGCATTCTGGCGCATTAACCCACAGCGCCACACCAGGACTCCGTGCATCTAGGCACCTCCCATCAATTTTTCTCAGCTCCTGGAACAGGCTCCTGGTGGGGCTCACTCTGCTGCGTTATATAGAACAGAGCTGGGGAAGGCCTAGGGTGTCCTCTCAGGCAGTCTCCCACGTCAGGGCCTCTCCCCAGGAGCCTCAACCTCCCCCAAGGCAGGCGCCTTTCAGAAGTCTTCTCCCTTCCCTCCTTAAAAGGGGCACTTTGGGCCTGCAGGCCTGGGGCTATGCGGGAGGAGCCTGGGGAATAACTGAGCTTTCAATGTCATGGCATGCTGAGACCCAGGCAGATGAGCCAGGGTCCTGAGGAAACTGACAGACACGCTGCATGGAGCCAGCCGCTGTGCCCAGGCCCAGGCTGAAGGTCAATTAGAGGGTCGATTATGCTCAGTACTACATGGCCTGGTTGAATTCTTGGCCAAGAGTCCAACAGAGGGAGAAAGTATTAATAACTCAACAGTGCTGGGCACCACTGTGGGGTTGTCCTCGCAGACAGGATGAACCAAGCAATGAGTCTCCTGGGCACTCTCCTGAAACAAAGTCAGGATGTCCACAGGGGCTGTATGTCCAGCCTAGAGTTCCAGTGTAGGACCAAGATGGGGAAATACCACACTGAGGTGAGTAACAGGAGCAGCAGGTGGAGGAGGACAGGCCCAGAGGTTGAGGCAACACTCCACTTCTTTTCTGGCTCTGCTCCTAGATAGTCAAGGACCCTGGGCAAGTCACTGGAGGCCTTACTTTCCTCTTTTGCAAAGTGGTGGTCATAAAGTTTGCCTTTCCTATGACCCGGAGCTGTTGTGAGAATCTGACCATCATGGCAACAGTGCAGGAAATAATGGTAAAGCACAATTGAGCCCTTGTTCTAACATTGGGCTGTTTACAGGCTGCATGACAATTTGGCCATTTTGCCTCCAACAGCTCCATTAGGTAGGTTATCAGGATTATTCTGTTCCACAGATGGAGAAACTGAAGTCCAGAGAGGTTCAGTAATTTGCCCAAAGTCTCATAGTAATTGTGAAGATGAGTCATGAGGCAAACATGATGTGTAGCTGTGCTGTACAAAAATAAAACATCCCTATAAGAGGAAGACCCCCTGGAGATGGATTGGCAAAGTGGCAACATCAATGGGCTCAAGTGTGCTAACAATTGTGAGGTTGGCTCAGGACCGGGCAGTGTTTTATTCTGTTGTACATAGGGTCGCTATGAGTCGGTATCAACTCAATGGCACCTAACAACAGTCCCTCAACTCCCTCAAGATGGCGAGTGTCCCAAGGACACGGACTGCTTTCATCTTGTTGGGCATGGGCTCCAGGATCCCAGAGATGGAAGGAGAAATAAGCAGAGCAGTTAAGTCTGCACTCGAGGAACTTGTTTTTTTTTTTTTTTTTTAATGTTTTAATATTTAAGTACACGATATTTAATATTTAAGTACAAAGGATACAAGATAGTTATTTGGAGAAGTCTTTCTTTCACCTCTGCTCCCTGGAAGTAACCATTGTTACCAGTTTCTTGTAAAAGAGTATTCCAGAGTTGTTGTTGTTAAGCGATCCTGGATAGGGCTTTCAAGGAATGGTTGATGAGCTTGACCCACCAACCTTGAGGTTCAAACCAAACTTGCGGTCCTTAATTGATGCATATTTACAGTTGTGTTTAAGTACGGGTGGGGACCCTGTTCTGGACAGTATAACTGGGGCTGTCCAGCATACCACCTGCCTGCTTTGCTTTCCAGGGACCCCGATGAGATTATGCAGTCAGGAGACCACTATGCTAGAACTGAGACTTCAGCGTTGAGGAGCCTTGAGGACCACTGACAGCCACAAGTTGTGTCCAAGAGCTGTGACTTTCCTCACAGATTGTGCTGGTGCCCCAACCCCTGGGCCACATCATGGTCGTGCAGGGCAGAATGGACGCCGGGGACACAAGGGTGGGCGTGCAGCTGGAGCCCTTCCTGCACCAGGTCGGAGGGCACCTGAGTGTCATGCAGTATGATGAACACACTGTGTGCAAGCCCCTCATTTCCCAGGAGCAGATGTTCTACGAGTCCCTGCCGCTGGCCATGAAGCGGTTCACCCCTCAGTACAAAGGTGAGCTTCCACCCTGATGGGGGCTTGTCTCTTCACCACTCTGTGTTGCCATGGAGATGTGCCCCTCTCCCACACCAGCCATGGCCTTAATTGTCCTCACTGCTTTGTAACTCAAGTCTTCATGTCTAGAGTTGAATGCCAATTGACTTCCTAGCAAATTAGCTCAAACCACCAGGATTGTAGATTCTGGCTCCAGAGTCAAGGCTCTTTGCCATATAGGCGCATTTGCTCCCAGCTATGTGGTTACTGGAGAGGTGGCTTCCCATGATGTCAGAGCAAGGGGACGTGACTGTCCCAGGGTCACCTGGCTAATATCATCAGGTCAGGATGAATCGAGTGTCCACGAGTCCAACAGAGGTCCCTTTTCCTTCCCAAGAGAACAGCTAACTCCCCCAGAGACAAGGACAGTTTCTGAAAAGGCATAAGACATGGCACACAGACCTGCTCCCTCCTGGCTGCTCTGCATTGTGATGATATCTGCAGAACGTTGCGATTCCTGAGATTCCATTGTAAGAATCTCTGGCCTTTCTCCAGGCTCCTCAGGCACGGCAGCATCTGGGGACTGGGTCCCTCTGGCCCAAAGTCTGCCTGGGTGCATGAGGACATACTTGTAGGTCCAGTTGCTTCAGGGTTGAGCCAGATTCATATTACAAACAGTGGCAAGTAAATGCTTTCACAAGCTTAAAAATAAAACATGACACAATAGTCACAGAAGCTCAGGAAGATGCTTGGCCAAAGCAAATTTGCAGAGATGCTCTGGGCATGCCAACCAGAGAGGGAGGCAGACACAGCGACAGTCAGAGGCACACAGAGAGACAGAGAGAGGACGCAGGGATACCAAGTCTGGCTGCACAGCTCTGACAATATGAGAAATAGAAATGACTTTTGATTTTATTGGGTTTGCGTTATTTGCACCTCTGCTCGCCTTCGTTGATTCAGATACTCAGAACTGATGAGATTAGACAAGAACTGGAGTCTAGAGACATCTCTTGTGGAGGAAGGTCACACTCACATCTTGTCCCTCCAAGGAGGCCTGCTGGGTCTAGGGCACCCCGACACTGTGAGTGGTTTCAGTTTGGCCTGTCATCATAACCTCACAATAACTGCATAAGTGGAAAGGCCACAGGGCTTAAACTCCAAAGACCCAAAAGGGCCCTGCCCTTGGTCAGCACACATTCTGGGCTCCCTGGGCAACCAGGAGGCCTCTGAGTACCCCAAGGTAAGGCATAGGGCCACTGTACTTGGAGGGATGAGTTTAGGAGCTTGGTTTTGGTCTTCAGAAGGTCAGGTCTCCTCACAAATGTAATAAAACAAGCACAAATGTAAACAACTATCCTGTGTTTGGAGTTTCTAGCACTGTGTGCTAAGGACTCTCTCATGACACGGGGGTGGGGGTGGGGAGGTTGTATCTCTGCTTTCTCCCATGGAACAGAACGACCCAGAACAAATGTGACTGGCAACACAGCAGGAGTGTTCCTCTCATCCACCTCCACCCACAAGGCAAACACAAGCATACTAGACCCTCCCAGAGTCCTTGGTCAAGGATTTCCTATAATAGCTTGTTCCTTCTCAGATCCATGTCTGGTGTGGCCCTCTTGCCAACTGTGTGGACTTGCTACACAATCTCTCAGGGTCTCAGTGTCCACAGTCCACTGCTTATTGTTGTTGCTAAGTGCTGTTGAGTTGGCTCTGACTCACAGCAACCCTGTACAGGGTTCCCAAAGAGCGGGTGGTGAGTTTGAGTTGCCAGCCTTGCGGTGGGTTAGTTCTCATAAGACCACTTGTGTGGCTGTCTCTGCACCACACCAGGACCTCAGTCAACTATCTTAGAAGCTTCTTATAACTTATAGAGATAACAAATGAAGAGCACCTCAAATATGCCAGCACATAGTAGACACAAAAGACATGGTAGTTACTACACTTATTTCCCAAACCTGCTGTCAGCCCCAGCTCTCATGAACATACAGCTATGGTGGGGTTGCCCTAGGGATTGGCTGGTGTTGAAGCAAACAATAAAATGCCAGGCTGGTGTCAAGTATTGTCATAATTATCGTTATTGATCAAGGGACACAGGAGCCTGGGGTGAAGAAATAGTGAAGGATTTTTTAGGAGCTGGACAGAAGTGAATGTCACTCTCAGGCTACAAAATGAGGGCATTGGGAATCTGAGATGATAGGGAGACCATAGAGCAAGACACGGCTGGCTCTGAAGAGCAGCGTACTGAATTACAGAGAAGCCCTGAAAGTAAGGGTCTGCACTGACCAGTCCAGGAGGCCTGCGTGGGGACATGAGCAGGGAAGTCACCTACCTTTACTGCTTACTCAACAGAAATGACCACTGACTCTGGGAAGGTGATCAAGTAGTGGTCCTGGAGACTCCAAGTGATTTTAAGAAGCTGCTAAAGGTCTGGGTTCCCTGATTCCTAGGTGGAGGAGGAGGAGAAAAAATACCTTGGCAAACATGATCACAGGTAGCCCCCTCTCAGACAATATCCCTTTAGGAAACCAAAGGAGTACTGAAAGGGTTGAACTGAAGAGAGTTGAAAGTACTTATCCCTAGGTCTGAGCCCAGCAAGCGTTGAGGCCACAGGAGAATGCAGCCATGACCAGAATCTAGGCAAACAAGGAAGAACCAGCAGAATAAATACTCTACCCTTTCTCCTCCTAACCTGACATCTCCTGCCAGTGCCTCCCACTGGCCAAACTCATTGGGGAAGCAGAGGACAAGGAAGCCCCCTGGTGCACTGCATAGGGTCAGCCTCTTAAAACATGGAGAAATGGGGAGAGTGGGTTGTAGACTGGGAGCATCTGTTGCAGGACAAACAGAAAACCAAGTACTGTTAAAGACGAGTTCTCACAAGACCACTTGTGTGGCTGTCTCTGTACCATTACCAAGAGTACGGTTCCCTGTCCAGCAGAACTCTGGAGAGGATGGGTACCCACTGGATGCCACACCTCATGTGTGCTGAGCATTGCCACCGGAGCACAGAATCTAAGGAGAATGAGCCACAGAAGTATTGATTTAGATGCCAGAGTTAATTACCAGCTTGGCCAATGTCCCAGAAGAGAAGACCAATTAGCACATTTGTTAAATGGGTTTCTGTGTACTCTTCACTTTCACAACCAGGGATTGGAGTAGGATGTTGTGCCTTGGTTACAAACATTGATCGTTAGATGGTCACATCAGTTGGAGAAAACTCACAAGCCTTAGCTTCATATCAAACAACCATCTTCACGTGCTGATGCATCTAACCAAAGGAAATGGCCAAGTGTTAGTGTTATAAGCAGACATTGAGGGGAGGTAAATGAAGGGGCGACTGAGAGACCTGAGTCCCAGAAGGCTGCTTAAGGAAGGCTTCGTGGAAGAAGCTGGTCAGTAGCAATAAATTAGGGGGAGAAAGGATAATGGAGGAAGCAGAGGAAAGGGGGATGGGCCCCAACTTCTCTGACTGCCTCACCTTTCCTGCCTTGATCCTCACTAGCACAACAGATGGAGCTCTTCCTCACAGAGGATCAGCAGCCCCGACCGTCCAAGGTTGAGCACAGCTGGGTGGGCTGTGGTGTGCCAGGGAAGGTGACTACGCAGTGAAACTGAACTATAGGAACACAATGTACAGGGCTGGCTTTGTTTGAAGTATGAAGGGGCAGAGAAGTGGGATGAAGCAGACACCAAGCCAAGATTAGCCTAGGGCTATTTTCCATAGACTCTGAATTGGCACTGGGCTCATTCTGGAATAGGAATGAATTCAGGCTAATCCAGGCCAGTCACCATAGCTCTTTCTGGAGACAGGAGCTACAGGAGGGGGAAGAGGTTGATGGTGCCATTAAACTACCATTCACAATGATGTCACCCATTGCCTCGTGTTGCCTGGAAGTAAATCCCCCCATCTCTCCCTCCTCCCGACCTTTAGGCACCATCACGGTACACCTCAGGAGAGACAGCAGGGGCCACCTCAGCCTGGTTGCCAATCCACTGAAGGAGAACCAGGGGTCCTTCAAGGTCTCCACTGAGTCGGCAGCGGTGGCGATATGGCAGACGTTCCAGCAGACCACCGGGGACATTGGTGGTGGCACCCACCCCCTAGCACAATGGCAGCACACCCCGCTGGCACACTCGCTCAAGGAGAGGTGAGGGCCCCTGGGTGGGCTGACAAGGACCAGTATGGCAACTCCCCGTTAGGGCTAAAACCGAGAAAATGAGAAATATAGATGAAGGTTCTGTCTAGAATAACCAATATGACCCAGGAAAGGAATTAGTTTTCTTTTATGCCACTTCCAGAGGGAGGGATTACGACACATTTTCTCTCTGAAGTTTGTGTGAAGGCAGTATCCTATACAGAGCAGGTATTTGGTACGTATTTGTTTAATTAAATACCTGTTTCACTGAGATCATGAAGTGTCTCTGGAGGAGAAATGCACAGAACAGAAACCCTAGAATAGTGTCTATAAAGGAAAAAGCGGGACTGACTTCTCTCAGAAGTCGTCTCTCTCCTAGGCCTTCAGGACAGGTCCAGAAACAACTCACAAGGCATTACGTGAGCTTCTGACATGTACAAGGCCCAGGGCACCGGAGGTCCTTGGAGAGGTCACCAAAAATGCAGAAAATGGGAGCTGACCTTTCTTAGATTGAAAAACCTCCCTGGGGACTTTTAAAACATTTATAGGAAACAAAAAGGAGCTAATACAATGAGAATCCCTCCCTCCTCAGAAAGGAGCCCAGCGGGTCTAATTAAGCCTCTTGGCTCAGTGACAGGAAGCCAGTGCACGGTATCTCCATTTCACAGATGGGGAGGCCAAGATGCAGAGAGGGCAGGAAAAGGAGGGTGGGCAGAGGCCCCGTGATACCCCCAGTCCCCACATCCACCTTCTGCAGCACTGTGAGGTCTCAGGAAGACGTTAGCGTCCACTAAATCCCAGGGTCCTCACAGTAATCCTTTGGGGGTAGAGATGATCTTATTACTTCATCTCACTTAGGAGGACACCACAGTACAAAGAAGGTAACAACATGCCAGAGTGACAGAGACGAGAAGCTCAGCCTTCTGATTCTGGGGGTGAAGCTGGGGGCGTCGGGGTGAAGAGGCAGCTTGTCCCCAGGCTGTGTCACCTCAAGAATGACAGTATCAATCCTTATCATTGAAAAGTGAATTTAAACTTCAGAGGGGGTGACATACTCTCTGAGCTTTAGAGAAACCACCCCAGCCCCAGCGGGCTGCAGTGTATTGTATCTGGCCCTGGGACCTGAGATGGGTGGGGGAGGTCCTCTGAGTGGGTGTCTCTGGGCAGCCTGGTAAAAGCCATCGGAGATGAGTCTAGGTCAGAAGCTACCCCAGGAGAACCCAGCCGGTCACCTCTGACCCATAGCTTCTCTGACTGCCCTGTGCTTCCCTTAATAGTCCAGCCCAGTCACTCCTGAGGCCAGACTTGCACTTCAACCCCGAAGTCTCTACACTGGTGGATGACGCTGGTAGGAGCCAGACAGAGAGGAGTTTCAATCCGTGGGGCCTGCAATGCCACCAGGCCCATCTGACCCGCCTGTGCTCCGAGTACCCAGAGAACAAGCGGCACCGTATCCTTGCCTGCCCTCCCCAATGAGCCTGGCCGGAGGGACAATAAGGCCTGTCTGAAGCGGGTGGGGAGGGTGAAGGGGGAGACAGGGCACAAGCCCTCAAACCTAGCACCTAGGAGAAATCAGACTCCTCAAAAAAAAAAAAAAAAAATCAGCTCATGAGCCTCACAATGGGTATCAAGCCGAACACAGCATCCCTAGTAAGACCACTGGCTGTGTTTCTAGTACCTTGGCAGTAAAGCTGGCCTGGGGGAGCTCTGTGTACACACAGCAATGATTGTTTGCCACCTGGGTGGGGGGCAGCAGGGGCTCAGAGGGGTCATGGGTCCTCTACTCTTACTGCCTCACTTCAATCCCTTCAAACTCTACCTGCAGGCCTCTTCCAGTCAGAGTGGTTCCTCCTTAGGTCAAAGAGTGGGCTCTGCAGTGAGGTAGACCCCCTCACCCATGGGATACCATGTTCTCAGTGAACAAACATAAGCTCGAAATGTCCCTTCATCACCGACAGGCTTCTTCCTGCAGATGGGTGGCTGGTTTCACAGTCTTTACTAAGATACATCTGCAACCCTAATCCCTAAAAAGCTTTTGTAGGATAATTACTCTGCTGAAATTAATATTCTGACAACTCATCTCCAAAGCTAACATCAACCCACTTCTCCCAAAAGGTACTGTCCCATTCAGTGACTTGAGGTTTTAGCCTTATGATTTTCTGCCATAAAATGTAAATTGGGCACGGTCTGCCAGGGATTTCTTACCTGCATTTAAATCCCAACCTAAGAGCAAAAAGGAAAAGGGAAAAAAAACTTGCAATACTCATAAGCTCCCCATAACTAAATGGACTTATTAAAGCAGCCTACAAAGTTAATACGTTGAATTCTTAATAGCAGCAGTGGGCTTATCTGTAATGGAAGAAATGGGAGTGAAGGGGAGATGCTCAGAGCAGGGTATTTCCAGACAGCTTCTGAGGCGTGCTGGTTGCCTGCTAGGGAGCAGCACCCTTATACCCTCGGAGCCTTCCTTGACATAGCGTGATGAGGGTTCTTGTTGCTGGAGAACGTGGTGTCACAGTACAAACACCCCTGTGTCTTGGACCTGAAGATGGGGACACGGCAGCATGGGGATGATGCATCTGAGGAGAAGAAGGCCCGCCACATGCAGAAGTGTGCGCAGAGCACATCGGCCTGCCTGGGCGTTCGCATCTGTGGCATGCAGGTGGGTGGCAGAGGGTCTGTTGCAGGGGTGGCATCCTGCCATGTCCACTGGAGGAACAAGAGTGTTTCCCACCCAGATACCATTGCCCCTACATAGCCTTCACTGTGGAGGAACAACAGAAGAGGCGGCCAGGCACTGCTCTGTCAACAAGAAAATGCACATCCAGCAATATGATACAAAGCCAATAAGAGTTGCCATTGAGCTAATAATGAGTCAGAGTAGAACTGTGCTCCACAGGATTTCCAATGGCTGTTTTTTTTCACAAGTAGATCATCAGGCCTTTCTTATGAGGCACCTCTGGTTGGGGAGGTTCAAATCGCCAACCTTGCAGTTAACAGCCAAGTATGTTAACCGTTTGTACCACCCAGGAACTTCCCACTCGGCGGGGGGAAAAGAAAAACTCAAATCCATTGCCACTGAGGTGATTCTGACTCATGGAGATCCATGTATTTCAGAGTAGAACTCAGCTCCATAGGATTTTCCTGGCTGCAATCTTAATGGGAACAAATTGCCAGGTTTTTCTTCCACAGTGCCACAAGGTGAATTCAAACCACTAACCTCTCAGTTAGCAGTCGAGTGGCATAGAAAATCCACCATTTTAAAAGTCTGTTTTAGTCTTCTTAGGCCGCTGAAACTTTCCACAGTGGCAGTGAGGGTCCTGCCCATGTTGAGAGCAGCCCTTTCATGCCAGTGTGTGAGCAGAGGGTGGGGAGAGAAGTAAGAGAAACAGCTTCTCTGTGTATGCCATGGCTTCCTGCTTTCTCATTCTCTTGAATGAGAAAGCGGAATTCTTTCCTCCTCAGAGGCTGTAAGGTAGAGAGGTCTTTGGATTCTCATTAGCCAGTCCCCTTTCTTCATCCACCTTGTCTGCAGCTTTTTTCTACCTATCTGGGTAACAAAGTGGGAAGGTTGGGACTTGCTAAAACCAGGGAAAGGAATGGTTAATTTTTTCACTGCCCAGACTCCACACTTCATGTTTGCTGCTCTGATATGGCTTATAGCAGGGACTGCAGAATAGGAAGAAATAAACTTTCTCCACTCACTCACTCTTATAGGCTGTCTACTCAAAGCAAAACCAGACACCAATCTGACGGTAAATGTTATAGCTTTCCTTAATTGAAACTGCCACCCCTTGAAGCTGGAAGTGGAGTCTATAAATTTGTTGCACAGATGTCCCTTGCAAGGCTTGGAATGCAGTCCTCAAGAGAATGGAATGTGATGATTTGTGGGGTAAATGGAATCTCTCTGGATTTCAACCCCCTGAAATTGATCTGATTTATTTAGAAAGTGAGGTCTGTCATGTATTTATGACAGTTAATTTAGCAGTCGATCTCCAGTCCTCCAAAGATAACACCACGTCTATCATATCTTGCTGATTTTCTTCAACACAGACTTTCTGTAAACATACCGTGTAATCAATCTGAAGGTAGGAAGGGTCCAAGGAGCCGTCTTGGACTGGCAGCCCACGTCCTGTCTACCAAGTCACCCTCTGGCCATGCCAGCCACCACTGACCTTGGTTTAGCCTCTGCTGTTGCCATGCCACTGGAATGAAATGGGGGTGGCTGCCACTTTCCCCCTTCAGCATCTCTCTTCCATTTGCTTCCTTTGGTGGCCAAAACATATCAGGGGAAGCGAGAAGGTACAGTGCCAAGCTAGGGAGCCACCAGTACCACAGAGTTGCCATGCACCTCCACCTCTTCCACCCAGGTCCCCCTCAACGACACAAGGCTGCCTGAAATCACTGTCCGCATCTGATTTGTTATTTTCACACAATTCACCCTACTCCACCCCCAAGAGCCATTACTATTTCCTTTGAATCTGCAGAGAAAGGACTTTATAAACTTTGTTGGGGAAAATTTAATCTAGTTGGCTTTCCAAGGCCATTGGCTGTGATTTCAGATTCCTACTAAAGCTTTCTAGCTTGGGTTTGCTAATATTTGAATTGAAGAGGGCCAGATGCCAGGGCTTAAATCATGATTTGGAGGATGACACTGGAAATTCACAAACGAGGAGATCCGAGCCTATTCCACGTGCGTGGAGGGCCATGTATAGGGTGAAGGTTCTTGAGACCTTGGATTACCATTAGAGGCTTGCACAGAGAGCATTTTAAAACGGAAAAGCAACATTGGTGTTTGATGGAAAATCATCTTGCCATTCATTTCCGCCATTCTTGCCCTACATCTGTTGGAAATCTGTTCATATAGAAATCTGTTATGTTAGCTTGTGATGCTACAGCTATAGCAGGTGCAAGGTTTTGTTTAAGTTGGCAATTGTTCACATGTTCTCTTTCTTCTTTTCAATGTAAGGTTTATCAAACTAATAAGAAGCACTTTCTCTGCAAAGACAAATACTATGGAAGGAAACTCTCAGTGGAGGGGTTCCGACAAGCCATCCATCAGTTCCTGCACGACGGGACTCGCCTCCGCACAGAGCTCCTGGAACCCATCCTACACCAGCTCCAGGCCCTGCTCCTGGTCATAAGGAGCCAGAGCTCATACCGGTTCTACTCCAGCTCTCTCCTCATCATCTACGATGGGCAGGAGCCCCCAGAAACAGTGCCAGGTGACCTGCATTCTCAAGAGGCTCTACACACGGCCCTTGGCAACTCCCCTGGAAACCTCACCAAAGTCGACATCCGGATGATCGACTTTGCTCACACGACATACAAGGGCTCCTGGAATGAGCTCACCACCTATGACGGACCAGACCCTGGCTATATTTTTGGCCTGGAAAACCTCATCCAGATCCTACAAGATATCCAAGGAGGAGAATGAGGCTTGTTGGGCCCATCTAGATTATTTTAGGGTGCAGATCTCAAAAGGGACCTATTGGTAGCTAGGGTAGTCTAGACTCTCCTTGGTTTGTAATAATCACATCTACCTTCAAAAGCCATTGCTATACATGGCTGACGACATCAACAGCAGCTAAAGAAACCGGCTCTGCTGGTAATTCCGTGTACCCTGGCATCTTGTAGAATGGCTGGCCAGTATAAAGTAGTGCCATTTTGAAGCACTTTGGGAGGGGCAGCCTGAGTGACAGCCCAGTATCACAGTGAGGCTCTGGAGTGGCTGTCTGGTTGGCATGCTGCAGTCCTCACAAGCTGTGAGGCAAAAACCCTTACTTGAAGAAGACTTGATGCTCATGGGTTTCTGCTCCCACAGGCTGCCCACTCTGAGGGCAGCTGTGGCTACTGGATGCTTCTTGCCTTCCTGAGAGGCATTTTAGGTGAGGCAGGATGAAGTGGAACAAATCTGCCTGCTTTGCACCTTGCTTTGTACCCAGGTTCTAAATCAACAAGGGTAATCCCAGACTCAAGCCCTGGCAAACCTGCCTGAGGAGATGGGTCTCTCACAGACTTCTGAGTGCCTACTGATGGTGATGATTCTGCCCTATTCTGACCCCCACTGTGGAAATACAGCTTCCAGTGGGGGTGGAATGCATGTGAGAAGGAGTCACTAGATTTAAACTACATTCTTTGCTTCCTATTTATTATTTTAGGAGTGGGTTAGGGGAGTCCAAGAGAGAGGCCTGGAGGGCTGAGGAATCCAGGGGCAATTGTTTACAAGATTGGTGGACAAGTGTAAATACAGAACCAAGAGCAAACCATTCTAATTAATTCCTTCTTCTGCAGTGTGGAAACCTATTACAATGCCCTTGAGTCAAACACTGAAATACGTTACCCAATTAGGGAAATAAATTTGTTAATAAAATTGCTGAGGTCACCAGTGATTATTTGGTGCACCTTATTACCCTTTGTGTTGTTTATTCTGATCATCACACTGTATGTATGGTGGTTCAAATTTATAGGCAACCAGAGCATACAGCAAAAACCGTTCACCCATGTCCTGCAATCCTTCGGGGAACCCAAGTAGGGAATGGTGGCTAATGAAGCACTTGCATGTATATGCAAAGCAGGCAGGCAGCAGACTTGAGAAGTAAGTAGTCCTTTCAGGGGAACCTTGTTGTTGTTGTGAAGTGCCGTCGAGTCGATTTCGACCCATAACGACCCTGTATAGGGTTTCCAAGGAGCAACTGGTGAGCTTGAACCACCAACCTTGCAGTTCAAATGGCTTTGCAGTCTGGCACATTAACCCACAGCGTCACACCAGGACTCCCTAAAGGAACCTTAGAACCTTACAAAATGTAATAACAATTTTTGGATTCTAAGGGTTAATTACCATCAGCTTTTCAAAATCCACACTACTATTAGCGAACAGTGGCCTGGATAATTAAAAAACAAACAATTTTTGTTTAATTTTGGAATACATTATATGAACTTGAAAGCAGGTTAACTTGCCTAATTATATTTGGCCTGTGGTCATGGTGGGAGAGGTGAGTCAAAGTATTGTTGTTAAATGCCGAAGAGTCGGTTCTGACTCAGAGCGACCCTATTTAGGGTTTCCAAGGAACGGCTGCAAGCATACATTGACAGAGAACTTCCAGAGGTTCAAGCTGGATTCAGAAGAGGATGTGGAACAAGGGATAGTATTGCTGATGTCCAATGGATCTTGGCTGAAAGCAGAGAGAATACCAGAAAGATGTTTACTTGTGCTTTATTGACTACGCAAAGGCTAGTGTGGATCATGACAAGCTATGGACAACAACGCAAAGTATGAGTATTCCTGAACACTTAATTGTATTCATGAGGAATCTATACATGGACCAAGAGGCAATTGTTCGAATAGAACATGGTAACACTGAGTGGTTTAATATTAAGAAAGGTGTGCGACAGAGTTTATTCTTTCATACTTATTCAACCTATATGTTGAGTAAATAATCCAAGAAGCTGGGTTATACGAAGAAAAACGTGGCATCAGGATTGGAGGAAGACTCATTAACAACCTACGATACGCAGATGATACAACCTTGCTTGTTGAAAGGGAAGAGGACTTAAAATATTTACTGATGAAGATCAAAGAGCACAACCTTTGGTATGGATTGCATCTCAATGTAAAGAAAACAAAAAATCCTCACCACTGGACCAATAATCAACATTGTCAGCAATGGAAAAAAGATTGAAGCTGTCAAGGACTTCATTCTTCTTGGACCAACTATCAACACTCATGGAAGCAGCAGTCAAGAAATCAAATGACGCATTGCATTAGGCAAACCTGCTGCACAAGACCTTTTTAAAGTGTTGAAGAACAAAGATGTCAGCTTGAGGACTAAGGTGTGCCTGACCCAAGCCATGGTATTTTCAATAACCTCATATGCATGCAAAAGCTGGACAGTGGATAAGGAAGACTGTAGAAGAATTGATGTTTTTGAGTTGTGGTGTTGGAGGAGAATATGGAAAGTGCCATTGGCTGACAAAAGAACCAACAGATCTGTGTTAGAAGAAGTGCAGCCAGAGTGCTCCTTGGAGGCCAGGATGGCCAAACTTCGTCTCTCATACTTCTGATATATTGTCAGAAGGGACCAGTCGCTGGAGAAGGATATCATGTTCGGTAAGGTGGAGGGTCAGAGAAAAAGAGAAAGACCCCCCAACGAGATGGATTGGCAAAGTGGCAGCATCAATGGGCTCAAGCGTGGCAACAATTGTGAGGTTGGCCCAGGACCAGGCAGTGTTTCGTTCTGTTGTACAAAGGGTCACTATGAGTCAGTACTGGCTTGATGGCACATAACAACAAAGAACAGCTGATGGATTTGAACTACCAACCTTGTGGTTAGTGGTCCAGCGCTGATCCTACAGCACCACATCAGGGCTCAAAGTCCTGGAGGCAAAAAGGAGCCCCCTAAATACTGCTTGTCCTGGGCCACTCTTTGCTTGAGAAGCTGGTTCAAAGTTGCCTCACTTATTAGTTTCTGATTCCTTCCACCCCTTTCTCAGCACTGGATGTTGTGAGGATGAAGGAGAGAAGGGATGATCAACTGGAATCTAAGTCTTTGAGGGTTGGCCCACCCCATGTCACTCACTATGCATAATTGCTTTCCATGGGTACGTTATGGATTAAAGTATGTCTCCCTAAAATATGTGTTGAAGATCCTAACATCGTTATGGATTAAAGTACGTCTCCCTAAAATATGTGTTGAAGATCCTAACATCACATATTAGGATTTGTGCCTGTAGTTATAATCATTTGGGAATGGGTGGTCTTTGCTATGTTGACGAGGCAGGATTCCTATAAAATGTATCTTAAGTCAACCTCTTTGAGATATACAAAGATTAAAAATATAAGCAGAGAGAACAGAGATGAGGGGAGAGAGAGGCCAAGAGCAGAAGCTCAGAAGAGACAAGGCCCTTCCTGCAGAGCTGACACAGACAGGAAGCCTTCCCATAGAGTTGGCACCCTAAATTCAGACTACTAGTCTCCTGTGAGAAAACACGTTTGTTTGTTGAAGTCACTCACTTGTGGCATTTCTGTTACAGCAGCACTCGATCACTAAGACAGGCTGTGTCTTTATCCTCATGCCTGCCCACATCCCTTTACTCCATGATGCTCTCTGGGAAGGAGACCCTCTTCCTCCTTTCCAAATCATCTGAGGCTTAACTCAAGTTTCCACCTCTTCCTGAAGAGGGCCATGCTAAAATAGAGTTTGTTGTAAAGAAAGAGACAAAGCTGACTTCTGGTGTGAGATTTCTGGACTCAGTGAGTCTGGAATTTTGTGCACAGTTTGCAGACTGAGAAACTCTGGTAATCAGAATTTGGGAAGAGGCAGAAGAATAGAAAGGTGTGGAAGGAAGGGAAGATGGTGGGAAATGAATGTCTTCAATCCTTACTTGAAAATAGCAAGAGTAAGGGATTCCTAGATAATCCAGCAATCAGCAAGTGTATACTGAGCAGCCACCCCTACTGATCTCTTGCTAAGTGCTGTGGAAGATTCAGTTCTTGGGAGCTTAGATTCTAGTTGAGGAGGCAATAATAACACAAGTGAACTAACAACAAACCATATAAGACAGTTCCTAATGTTACAGAGGATTATTTGGTGCGGTGCACATTATCAAGCCTATAATTTAAAGTTGAAGAGAGAGCTGAGAGCAGACTCGTCATGGAAACTCTTCGAGGAGGGGGCACCTCATCTGGGTCCTGAGGATGTCAGGAATGGGGAAAGAGGCTGAGGGATCAGTTGTTGGGGGAGGTGAAGAGAAAGGAAGGAAAAGTCCAGTGTGCTCATGGGTCTGTGAAGAGACCCACCCATTCAGAAAAAGTTACGAGTCATGGAAATGAAGAGTAGACATGGAGTGAGGTCAGATGGTGGAGCACTTGAAAATCTGATCAAGGAGCTCATTCATCTGTTTGTGACTTCATTTTCCTTCTTTCTCTTCTTCCTTTTTACTTTCCGTCCATCCATCCAACAACTATTTGCCAAATACCTGGTAAATACAGCACAGTACTAAGGTTTGTATAGGAAAAAGGAAAGTGTCAAGACAGTAATGTCTTTAAGAACCTTATCCTTGAACAAGAATGTTATGACCCCCTATGAAAATGTAATGATTTACTAGGTGATGAGGGCCACCTGCTTACCTGTGCAGTGTTATCTATGGGTACAGAAGCAGTGAAGGTCCACACCAGGTGGGGTGATAATGTAGGTAGTGTTTGAGCTATACTTTGAAAGTTGGTCAAGTATGAGATGATAAAGAAGTGGCAGATGTTCCACGAAAGGAGACAAGCATGAAAATGCGGAATTGAGTATTCTTTTCAGAAAACAGTGAGGGCTCTATTTTGGCTGCAGGGGGTTGATGTACAGAAGGGAGAGAAAAGATAGAAATGAAGAAATCCCAGAAACTAAAACCTAAAAAAAAACTTCTGGCCTCCCACCTCCGTTGTTCTCT